GCTTTTCCTTCCTCACCTTCTTTGGTTTTGGTGTGGGAGACGGCTTCCTCTGAGCCGGCTTCTCTAACTTTTTGGCCAGTGTATTGGGTTTCACCGGCATCTTCCAATAACGGTTCCTGGGAATAGTTATTTCCTTTTCCAGGAAATTCTGCATGAACTTCACTAGGTTGTCCGTCTTGGGTTGCTCCACTTCGACCACTTGGATGTTCTACGGGTTTGGCCCGTATTTTATCTGGACCATGGAGCATTGTTCGGTCCTCGGCTGGAACTCAAATTTTTCTTTCTTCCTGTTGATACGGAAACGGATGCTTCCTATTCCCACACCAATGTTGGCATCCGCGGTGCTAAGGAGCGGAGGCCCCAAAATGAGCGGCATCTCCTTTTCAGTGTCCATGTCAAGCACCACGAAGTCGACCGGGATGAAGAAATCCCGAATCTTGACCGGTACATCCTCCGCTATCCTAGCATGGTAGCGGACCGACGAGTCGGCCAGCTGTAGGCGCATCGGTCTTGGTGCTAACATCGTGAAGTTGAGCTTATCGAAGACGTCTTTGGGCATGACGCTTACGCTTGCTCCTAAGTCGCAGAGGGCTTGGTCGAATTTATGTGTCCCGATCAAGCAAGTGATCATGGGACACCCCGGATCCTTCTTCTATTCTGGGAGCTTGTGGACTATGACGTTGCTGCACTGCTCCGTCAGCTTGACCACCTTAGTTGTTGGGAGTGGTCTTTTGTTGTTGAGTAAATCCTTGAGATAACGTGCGTATGTTGGTACTTGCATGGCATCCAACAATGGCACGTTGATGTGGATCTTCTGAATCACCTCAACAAAACGAGCGAACTGCTTGTCTATTGACAGTTTCCTGCTTCTCTGAGGAAATGGCAGCAATCGTGTGTCCGTACTCCTACGGCACGGTCTTTTCTGGCTGAACTTCTACATCAGCCGTGCTTCCAGATGGTGCTTCTCAAGTAACACTGCTAATCCCTGCAGGGTTAGGATATGGCAGATCACGAGTGGACTTACCTCCCCTCGTTGTGATCGCCTTAACATTTTCAACAGAGGGTTCGGATTGCCCCGGAATCCTCCCAGATTCAGCTGCAGGTACTAAAGCAGCCAATTGAGCCAGCTGGGTTTCAATCATTTTATTTAAGCTCAGCTGGTTTTGAAATAAAGAAGCAAAGCCATCTATCTTAACATTTATATTTTCTAAGATCTTGTTATTAGCAACTAGCTTTTTGTTTAGAGCATCTGTGGTTTTAGCTTGCGCAAGGACGATATCTTTCAAGGAGGGTTGCTTAGAAAAAGTTACCGTTGTTATTACCTCCTTGGTAATATGGGCGTGGCTGGTTCCATCCCTGACCTCCTTGTGGATGAAATCCGTTGTTATTGCCCATGTACATCACATCTTCACGGGTTTCTGGGTAGTCATTCCCAGAGTGGCCCGTGCTGCCGTAGACCTCACACGTGACGTGTGAGTCCAAGGCCTTGATGGAGCCTTGTGGCCTCTTCTCATGGTCATCCAAGCGTTTCATGAGGAGGTCCAGCTTGGCAGCAAGCATTCCCGTCTCCTTGACGATGTGCATGCCTCGCTGACGGGTCTGAAGTCGTTCCTCGCTCCAGCCCATATTGGAGACCATTTTCTCTATCAGATCGACGGCTCCTCGTACCGTCTTTGAGAAAAAGGTTCCTCCAGCTGCCACCTCCAGGTGATCACGAGACGTGGGAGTGAGTCCATTATAAAAGTTCTACAGGATCAGCCAGTCGTCCATCCCATGACAAGGATAGGCAACCACGTATTCCTGAAGTCGTTCCCACGCCTTGGGAATGGACTCATCCCTTGTCTACTGGAAACTTGAAATTCTTCCATGAAGGGCGTTGGTTTTGCCCATCGGGAAGAACTTTGATAGGAATGTCGTTGAACATTTGTCCCAGATGTTGATCATAGCACGGTTGGCATAAAACCATTGTTTCGCTTTCCCAAGGAGGGAAAACGGAAACAGTCGCAGCTTGACAGTGTCAGAACTGACCCCCTTCATCGTGTATGAGTTGCAGATCTCTAGGAACTGTTGCAGATGACTATTGGCATCCTCATTAAGCTTGCCGCAGAACGGGCTAGCCAGAGCCATCGTGATGAGGCTGGACTTCAGATTCAAATCCACATCTCCCATGTTGATTTGCAGCCCAGTGGCCACGTTGTCAGCAGAGGGAGCAACGAATTCACTGAGGGTCTTGTCAGCCATAATCTTGAAAGTTGGTGGCGCTGGTATGATTGGTTTCTTTGTCGGGTGAGTTTTCTGCGGAGCGACAACTCGCGGCTTGACGCTTCGAAAGAAATCCAATGGATTTTCTTTGAAGTTTTCTGGCAAGTTGAAAGCAGTCATGCACTACCCTGTTTCCACAATAAAAGTGAAAACAACCAAGGTTTGCCTGCAAAGGACAGTGATTATACAAAGGTAAATATAAAGTTTTAGTAATGGTAATCTCTTTTATAAATCTTCCCCGGCAACGGTGCTAGAAATACTTGTTAGTATTTCTTAACGACATCACTAGAAATATAATTCTCAACAATGGCACAGAAATACTCCTGGTATATTATGGTTACAGAGTTTATCCGCAAGCGCACGGATATACCATTGTTGCATTTCACCCGAAAGTATTCCAAGGATTTCGTATTTGTTTAATCCCGTGGAAGATTATAGTACAGAAAACCGTACAAATAATTTATATATTACTTGTAATAACCATAGTCTAAGTAGGGGTTAATATAATTCATAGGGTAGAATGACACACAATTATAAGACTACTCATTCTTATATTAAACTATCTAAGCTAAGTTGAAAGAAAAATAGAAAAGAATATATACCTATACTTCTAGTATACATATTATACATACATCCTAGCTATAAGATTAATTAGCTAATACCCTCTTTCCGATGCCCTTCTGGTACTTCGAGAAGCCACCCCTGACTGCCAAGTTCCTTATGATAGCCCGTCATGACCATACAAACGGGGATAAATACGGAGAAGTACCCTCCCCAGGAAATTAACTTAGGACTATATACACGCGCGGAGGAATACCCGTACTGAGCTATCACTATCAGCAGCCCACCTCTCTTAAACCATAAAGCTGCTTGACAGATTAAAGTTTTCCATGTTGCATGAATGTAAGGTAACCTAAATGATCACAAATGAAAAATAAAAAGGTAAACAGAGGAGCATATATAATAATTGTGACATCCTGACCAATTAGGATATGGCTTCTGTGGCCACTGATTTTTAATTTCTAAATTACTTTGTTTATGTTTGGCAAATCTGAATGTACCAAGGCAAGATAATGCGACTTCACTGAAAACTCTCCATTTTGGGTTAAATTCCAAATGAAACTTATCTTGATCCTCAGTAAGCACTAGGCTAGCGGTTTGTGGAAGAAGGTTATTCCATGCCACTAATTTTGGCCCAATAAGATCCCTTCACCAAGATACATTCGGAGGGTAATTTTGTAGCACTTTTGCTACAGTATCCTATTTATTCCTAACTATATTGTATAGGCAAGGATATTGTTATCGCAATGGTGCTTCTCCCAACCACTTGTCTTCCCAAACCTGATTAATTTGGGCACCATCTCTCATAATGAATTTGCCAAAATGTAAAAAGTCACGCTTGACCTTCATAAGGCTGGCCTAGAATTGTGAATCCCCAGCTTTAAACTCAACTTGTGACACAAGTTTTGAGCCCAAGTACTTGTTACGAATCAATTGTTGCCAGACACCATCGGCCGTGAGTAGTTGAAATAACCACTTGCTAAGAAAGGCGATGTTTTTCATATCTGAATCATGAATTCCTAAACCCCCTTTCTTTGGGTTGGCACATAATTCTCCACTTCGTCAAACGATACGTTTTCTTTTGATCATCACACTAGCAATAAAATCTGGAGCGAAAATAATCTTCTTGTTGGCAGTTGGCCTAGCTAATCGATCCATGGTAATTCGTTCTTGTATGGAGAAGAAGCCGCTTGTAGGCCAAGCAGACCGATCCAGCTGCTGTGCACCATTTTTCTTCAGCTTCTGTGTACTATATCATCACACATAATTACATACTTCCTCCGTTTTATAATGTAAGACTTTCTATCATTGCCCACATTCATATAGATATAAATGAATTTAGACATATGTGTGTGTCAAGATTCATTAACATCCATATGAACATATGAATGAAGACAATACTAGAAAATCTTGTATCATGAAAACGGAGCGAGTAAATAAGATGGGAAAGCAACAGTTTCACAACATGAAGATAAATCAGTGCTAGGGCCGGGGGAGGCGATGTGGCCACGAGGCGGGGTGGGGGGTCCACCTGCGAGGGACAAGCTCTATTAGCACCGATTTTTGAGTTATCTACATTGCCTTGCAACTATACCAGGAAGATACTCCTTTCTTTAGCTATGTCTCGTTATCAATAAACTAAGAAGTATTCACAACCAATGACAACCAAAGCTATGTCAACAAAGCTCACCCACGTACATATGTAGTGGCATTTCAGCTAAGTACATGAAGAATCATTGCAACAATTTAGTTTGTCTTACTAAATGAAAAAATGGAATCCCTATTGCCTACAAATGCACGTTCACATTGTCGTCACGAAATAGAGTTCTTTGATGTAGTTGTGATTACTATCGGACATTTGTCAGGGTGAAGAAGAAAACGACTCGTTTCCTTTCCGCCGATTCAGTCGAGCAGAAAGAGTGAAATTTGAAAACGATAAAATCTAGAGATTCTAATTATATCGAAACATATTGGTTTAAAGAGTGAAATTTGAAAAACAAAATCTAGAGATCCTAATTATATTGAAACGTATTGGTTTAAATTGAAACGCATAGTAATATTTAGGGCCCGAGCCTGAATTGGACAGAGTGGAATGAACGGTCATCGGTCATCGCACGTTGTCTCGTTTATGAACTGCTGTATATATACCGGAAGAAATCCAGCTGCCGCGCGCGTCAATCACTCTCGTCCACACCTCAGACAAACAGCAATCATGGAACACATCGGCCCTTTCCTCCTGGCAGCAATGGCAGTGGCGGCGGCCGTCGCCGCGGCATCGGAGACGGCTACAACTGTGCCGGTGGCGGCGCTACCGCCGCTGCCAGCGCTGCCGGTCACAGCGGCGGCGAGCACGCTGCAGCCGGGGACGGCGTCGTGCATGGACGACCTCATGCCATGCGCGACCGTCTCCGACGACCCCACCATGCTAACGCCATGCTGCGAGGCGGTGGCGGAGGTGTTGAAGAGCGATCCGGAGTGCCTCTGCAAGGTCGCCGAGATGTCCAGAAACAACACCAGGAAGCTCGCGAGCGTCAGCAACAACCTCGACAGCGATCAGCAATTGTTCGCCCAGTGCAAGATCACCGGCGTTTCGTCCGACGTCTGCCACAAGGACAAGGGGCATCAAGGAGGTGCGTTTCTGCTTTGGATTAAGATTAAATGCGAGCACGTAAAACGATAAAGCTATTAGCGTAGAATTAATTGAGTTTTAATTGCTACATACTTGAAAAATTGATATATTTAATATTTTAAAACGACTTTCATATATTATTTTTTTATAGGCACGAATCATGCCGTTAGTAGTTTGAAAAACGTGCTAACGAAAACCGAGGTAAAATCTTATTCTTAATAAGAACAAGAGTGAAATATATGGACGGTCCCTAAACTTGTGTGGTGGTGTCACTTAGATCCATGAACTTGAAAATTACATGTTTAGATCCGTTAACTTGGTTTAATGTACCATACTGGTTCAAACATACTTTGACTGCGTTTAACCGCCAACGTGGCATGCCACGTAGGCAACACTTTTGCTCGCAGCCCCCTCCACATCACAACACGTCGCATATATCTCCTTATAGCTATATAGTGACACTAGTATCTCAAAAAAAAAATCCTCAAATCGTTCTTACCTCTCATTCTTCTCCTTGCATGTATAGAAAATGCGGTCCCAATTAGCAATTGACATTGCTCTGCGCTCCAAAATAACCTTATCGATGCACAACGGGCACTTGATCAATAATACCTTCTTCCAGTGACTTCAAGACGAGGACGCTTAGAAAATCCATGGAGATGCCTAGCGTTCAAGCTGCATTGTGCTGCCTCCCACCACTAATCCAGTCGCATTGTGCCATCGCTAACCCCGCTTCACTGCGCTGCCTCCTGCCGCTAATCCCACCACTGAGGCCGCCATAGCCGCTACGGCGCTACCTCTCGGCCTCCTTCCGTTAACCTCACTATAGAAACTCTAGCCGATTTAGGAATATTTTGAGGGATTTAGGTTTAAATGCACTGGTCAGGGCAAGTTATGTGCGAAGATATATGTGGAGGGGGCTGAGCACAGAAGTGTTATCTACGTGGAATGCCACGTTGGCGGTCAAACATGATCAAAGGACGATTGGACCGAGCGTGGTACATTATACCAAGTTTACGTACCTAAATATATAATTTTTAAGTTGATGGACCTAAGTGACATCACCCCACAAGTTTAAGAACCGGCCATGTATTTATTTGATTTGTTTGTTGGTAGATATTGTTGCGTGTGGTTTAATGATTTTTCTCCACCAAAAAATTATAATACGTACTTAAAAGACATGGATATACGGCAAGAGAATCCTGGGAATCCGCCAATGACATCTTTCCATGTTAGGAACAAAAGGATGGTTACGATTGTTCTCGTACTAGTAATTAAAATATCATTGTATTGCAACAAAGAAAAACTAAAATAATAAACTAATTGATTTGGTTAATTTTTATAGTCGGAGCTTTTTAAAATGGCAAATTTTCCTTTAGAAAATAGCGACTTCGTAATTTTAACTGTAAAACACCACACGGACTCACTTTGACAAAAACACTCTCTGAATGTGGTTATTTGGGAACAGGCTCCTCTGACTTTACGGAGCCACGTCACGCCGTAACGTAACCAATCGCGATCCACCGTACAGGGCGATCCAAGGATGCTCCGTCTTTGCTCCTTGTCCTACATTAATTAGCACACTCTGTCATCTTCTTACTTAATTACGATCATGTATTTCTTTCTGGCAAGAGATGTGAAAAATAACAGAATAAGAATGAAACTTCTGATATGCATCCATCTTATAACATAACCAACCCTCAAAATTTCTGACAAGAATATATGAAAAATAGCTAAGATTGAAACTTCTAATACTAGTAAACTCTAAACTCAAGTCATGTCGTGATATAAAAGCTCTGAACTATAACCCTGCATCGTTTAAGAGCATGAGTTAGAAAAGAACAACAGTTTTTATAGTCTCTTTATGAAACATTTGAATATGCAAGATAATTATGTCCGGCGAATAACTATACCTTCAGCAATTCAGTGTAGCTCGAGATGAACTCATATCCTTGTATATAATTCTCAATGCTTCTAGAAGCATTTTCTTCAACTAATTGAGTTTATGCTGTTATGCTTCGAGTGTTCACGTGGCACCATCGCCTTCTTCAATGGAACATCCTCGCTTGATTTCCTGGTATAACTCGATTCCCTCGTATAACTCGATCATAACAGATAAGCAGAGTGAAGAAATCTGTATATTGGCGGCAAACATGGTTACCATTTTTATTTTCCCTCCAAAATGCTAGTTAGGATAAGAAGACGATTTTAACAGAGGGGAGTTGCATCGATGACACAGAGCAAAGATGGAGCGTCGTTGGATCAGCTTGGATGGTGGATCGCGATGGCTACGTTACGGCGTGACGTGCTGCTGTAAAGTCAGAGGAGCCGGTTCCGGTTATTTGATAGCGCACGCCGCGTCCATTAAAATAATGCATTTCAAATAATAAGCGGGCCATATTTTTATGCGGGTGACCAAATTGCCCCTCCGTACTCTTCCTCCCTCGTGCTTCTTCTTAGTCTCTTAGGTAGACGCCGAGCAACCTGCAATAACTAATACGTCCGCCGCCCCTTGTCGCGCCGGTGGCCTCGAGCAACACCTCGTAGCTCGATCGCGTGGAATCCCCCCTTGCCGAGCGCCTCGAACTGGATGGCGTCCGTGGCCAGGACGGTCTCGCCGTCGCCGGCTCCGCCGCAGGCCTGTCGATCAAACGCGAAGTTGAGGTTGCGGCCGGGCGAGGCCGCGCTCCAGGTAGGCATCGATGAAGCAGCCGTACGTGCATGACGAGGTCCGGCTGACCCCACGATGGTCACCTGCTGCTGACCCGGCCTGTTGCTTGCTCTCCACCAACGCAACGCCTGTTGGAGATAGCACCGACACGTTCACCAGCGGCGGCGCGGCGTTTTGCTGCTGCTGCTTTAATTGTTTTTAGTGCGATTGTTCCTGTTTTGCTTAATTGTATGTGTCCATGAGCTATAGCTAGCTTGATCGAGAGACAGAGAAGCATCAAGCAATGCAGCAGGTCGCCACTACCTCGTGATGAGCGGACAAGGGGCATTTTTTAACCTTTCACGCTATTTATCTCTCCTATTCAATCAAAAATTAATATTTTAATAGATATGGTGTCCGCTGATAAATAACCACGTTTACATAGTGTTTTTCCCCAAAAGTAAGTTCGTAATAACCACGTTTACAGAGTGTTTTCCCAAAACGTAAGTTCGTGCGGTGTGCTATAGCTAAAACCACGAAGTCGCAATGTCTTGTAGTAAAATTTGCCTTTAAGAAAACATATTCTTCTCTATACGTGCAAGGTAACATATTCAAAATAGTTTGTTTCTAGTTCACATACCACAACATCAATTAAGAATTTATGGAGAAAGCCCCAACTTTCTCTAGTTGATCGAATAAATCTAAATTACTGAAACACATCCCGGCCAACCAAACTATACTACCTTGTTTAAGTCTAAGGTTTTTGTTTCTCTAGCGATACATATTTTGGTACATATAAGTAAGATGAATTGGTGTAATATATAATTGGTTGTAGCTCGTTGAGCAAATGCCGGAATTATATTTCATAATAAAAAAACGTGAGCAAGGATGTAAGGATGTAAGGAGAGAGTTGGTTGTTGAACTTTTATAGTACTATATTTAATCTGGTATCACGCAATATGGGCGACTCTGTTGTGATAGCAATGGGGCCATTACTATATTAATATTGAAAAATAGTAAATGTGTAACATATTAGCATGCTAATGCAAAACAATAAATTGCATCGAATATTTAATATCAGCCCAACTCGCTCAGAAAAAAATAAAAAAAAATATATAACTTTTTTACAAGGAGTTACCCAACATGTACATTTGATGAGAACCGTGCATGGACGGGCCCAGCTAGCGTGCGTGCCAGCTAAACTGCTAACGCGTACGCGCGCGATAGGAACCCGGAATCGCTAATTGGCGCGCGCGCGTTGCCGGCGCGTACTTCTGGCCCACAAGGCCCACGCGCGCGCCTCTTCTCTGTTTTTTTCTTTATTTTTTTGACGCCGCCATTTTCTTCTTTTATTCTTTTTTTTTTTGCTGTTCGCTATTCCTGCCGTATGAATAGGGGAAAAAATCGTAATTAGTTTAGATTAGATTAGTTTTCTATTTTTACTAATGATTAGTTTACTAGTAATTTTTAAATCTTAACTTTAAAATCTTCAAATCTCGAGTTGAAAGTTTTCAAATATTTTAAGGGAAAATTGGAACCATGCCATTATAATTTTGCAAAATTTGAGATATGCCAACCTGACCCACATGTCTTTGACTCATGTGGGTCCTACATGTTATTGAGATACCGATGGCATATCTCAAACCTTGCAAATTTATAATGGCATGGTTCCAATTTACCCATATTTCAAATGTAGACTTGAAAGTTTTCAAATCTCGAGTTGAAAATTTTCAAATCTCAAGTTGAAAGTTGTCAAATTTTTTAAATCTGGACTTGAAAGTTTTCGAATCTTGAGTTGAAAGTTTTTGAATCTAAGTTGAATGTTTTCAAATCTCGAGCTGAAAGTTTTCAAATGTTGACTTTAAAATTTAAATCTTAAATCGAAAGTTTTCAAATCTGACTTAAAAATTTTCAATCTGTTAGTAAAAAAATATCCCAAAAAAGAAAGAAAAATCTTAAGAATCTTCTCTAATTACCCGTTATTAGTGTTAAGTATTAACTAATATAGAGAAGTTATAGGAGAGAAGTGCTCGCTGCTGGCGCACACGCGCCAGCTAGCAGCCACCCTAGGAACCCCCGCTGAGTGGTGAGCGGTGGCAACGATAGGCCTTCGAGCAGGAGCAGTGCGCTGGCCCAGAGCGGAGATGGTTGAAGGCGTCACTGAAAATCGTGTGTTTGTGGCTAGGTAGATCTTGTTTTGTGTGGTTTAATGATTCATTTATCTAAAAAATTAGAATTTGTAAATGACAAGAATATACGGCAAGTGAATCCTGAGAATCCGTGAATGAGATATTTATTTCCACATTTTAAACAAAATGATGGTTACAATATTTCTTTATCTGGTATTAGTGGTGGTGATTCTACCGGCTACTTTAGGCTGTGTTCTTTACTGGAGGCTCCACGTATGGAAAACATAGCGGTGGATTAGCACATAATTAATTCAGTATTTGCTTAAATACTTAAAATAAACTAATATAATTTTTTAAAACAATTTTTGTATAGAATGTTTTAAAATACGCGGGAAGCATACGCATGGAAACACGAGGTGAAGTTGGGAATAACTATGGAACAAAGCCTTATAGATAAATGGAGGCTTTTTTTTTGTTGCTTGGACTTTTTATTTTATATTCTACATGTTTTTCTGAGAAATTTAAAATTTTCAGCTAAGAAGTTAACATATATATTTTCTAATCCATTGGAACTTACTTGGTTAGTCTATTACTCCCTTTATTCAATTTGATGATCACCCAAGCATTTTTAGGTCTTCTCAGAATGATCTTTCTCTAACAATTATTTTTTTTATGTGTAAATAGTGAATAAACATCATTTAATGTGCTGCGTGTAACCAACCAAGACTAATTTCTATTGGTGCAACTAAATGTAATATTTAAATTTGATGTAACTCAGAGGACACGAAAATATGTATCACCTTAACCAATGATAATCAATTACAAAATGATAAAAGTTTGGTTATGCTTGCTCTCCACACCCTCTGCTTACGTGATAATCAAAATGGAATCGAGAGAGTATATACTAAAACTTCATTTAACATACTGCAAACGCTTTTATATCGCTACGTGGCATTCCTTCAAAAACTCCTAGATCGTCACGTGGCATGATAATAAATTAGCTAAATCTAACCATTATTTTTAAGTTAAATTGGTGGACTCATTAATTTTAATGGTTAGATCAAATCTCATGCGCATGACATCCCCTTCAGTAAAATTTTGTGCACAGCGTTACCAACAATCATCCTATTTCATTCCCAAAACTGATTTTGATGGTTGCGTTACCAACAGTCATCCTATTTCATTCCCAAAACTGATTTTGATGGTTTTTAGTATAAAAATTGGATCCAACATATTCCTAAAAGCCTTGCATATATTTCATCTCCATATATTTCATTCCGTGGATTTAAGGGTGAGAGAGCAACTCCCAATCTCTCGTTCACGCGTTTCTCTCTCCTTCTCCGTGCTTCTCCTCTCCTTCCCGCGCGAGCGCCGAAATTTCTGTTGGGAGCATGCATGCGGGTCATCGTGATCTCTCTCTGTGCACATGAAAGGAGAAAAAACGGGAATTTCAGTTGATAGTTTAACAGTAGGTCCCACTTTTAATTTTTCGGAATTAAATTTAGGCTATCTCTTGGAGGAAAAAGTTTTTTCACTTCCTATTTTTATTTTAGGAAACCCCAATATCATATTTTAGAAATAGATTATTGCTAATTTGTTGGTGATGCTCTTACCTTCCGGACTTCAATCCTTCTTTTTTCTCCTATTTTTATGCAACTGTTTCGCCAGAGAAAAAATTGAAACAACATAATTTAATTATGTTCTGTTTTTTCAAGTAGTTCTCTTTAAATTCCAATTTGTGTTATTTGATTGGTACTGAGAAGTGAGAAGCATTGCCATAGAGATGTGAAAAAAACTACCAAAAATATTTGAAGCGGGTAATTTTGCTATAATACAACATTACAACCCCTTAATTCATCACTAGAATTATTGTCACACGTCTAGATTTTTTCTTTGCCAAATAGTTTTGGCACCAAATGAACAATCCAGTAACATACGCACCACTGATGATATATTTTGTTATAGTCGAGGAACTCCAATACGTCGGGCATAATTGATGGGCTGTCTTACACCCCACTGATGTGACTGCTAGTGCACTTCAATGAATCAATTATAAATAAGTTCGTAAAGCTGTCTCAAGAAATATTTATGACCAGCGGATGTTGAAAACAATCCAGACACTTAAACTATATGTAAATATAAACAATGAGACGGTATTCTACAGATATTCAGGGTGAGTTGTCTCTTTAGCTATAATATTTTGAAGTAGTGTCGAATAATGAGCCTAGCTCATTTTCAAAAGAGAATAATATATCCTTACCATGAATGTCTACTCTATATTACAAATCGACTCAAAAGTTTTAATTAAACACATGTTTTGATTACCTCTATTTTCTCTTTGTCCTTCCGAAAGACACCAACTATGAGGGTGCCAATGTCGATAGTGAACTAAGCATTAAAGTTATGTTGTATGATGGTCTTTACATGCACGGCTACGTTGAGGCAGGACCCATATTTCAAGGAAGCATAGAAGAAAGCCTTGGAGCCTATGGTCGGATTGGGTATTCATGTTTAATTTTAAAGTAAATTCCCTATGTACCCTTGAAAACTCACTCAATCCTTTTCATATCCCTAAAATTTATCCGATCCCTTCTATACCCTTGAAATTTCAACTCGATCCCTTCCATGCCCCTACTGTTATATTTTCCTTCATTTCACTATTATGTTTGGTTGCAAATATCTTTTTTCCCTTGATGCTTTAGGTTTGAACATAAGCTTGAAAAATGATTTATGAAACTAATGAGAGTAAATAATTGGTGCAGAAATTTTTGATATAAATTTTGAAGATAAAACAAATGTAATAAATTAAAATTTTTATTTGAAATTCTAATAGGACAATGGATATTTTTGATCTGGAGCATTCATAAAAAAATTATTGTGAGCATTGGTAGTCCTATCTTTGTAAGAATGATTATCATTTTTATGACTTTCTTTTAAAAAATAAATACATATTTTTTATTTCTTTATCTAAAAATAAATTTTGTGATAAATAACACATCACACAACAAACTCATTACTATAATAGTCTGATGCGGCAAACGTTTATATTTTTAATAATGTAATTCATGAATTTCTATGTTCATCCAAAGGTAAAATGGTTATTTTTATAAAAAATTAGACGGCCAACTAATGGTCATCTGAAGGGAGAGGTATGGAAGAGATCAAAATCAAATTTTAGAGGTATAGGAGGAAGTAAGCAGGGACGTAGAAGGGATTAGCTGAAATTTCAGAGGTATAGAAGGGATTTTCTCTTAATTTTAGCGGTGTTAACCTATTAATAGGTAGAAACAGGATTTTTAAAATATTTATATATGAATTTGGAAATAAACACTTAGATAAGTACTGGAGATATATTTTTTATGTATTAATAATATATTATGACTGTTTTCTTGGTATTGATACAATTTCATATATTAAATCAGTTACATCTATTAAATTGGCAAACATTTTTTAAAACAATGATAATAATTCGTGGTAGCAATATACAAATTTATATATAACCGGGACAAAGTGATTTTTGTCTGAATCTGGGAGACATTCTATCATTTAGGATATTAAAGTTTGTGCTCTATTTCACCGCGGACATATTTTTTATTATAAGGTAATTTATGGTGACTATGGTGAGGTATGACTTCTTTCAATACTTTCTTAAAATAATGAATAAGATGCCACGCGTTCGTGCGGGCTTATCTTTTTAGTTTTTAGATAATAGTAACATGGAACAGTCGGAGTTAATTGAGTTATTTTAGCTCTAGGCTTCAGCAATTCCGAAAATCGCAAAAATCCATGGTGTAGTGTCAGTACCGTGCATTTGGCTGTATATAATCGCAGCCGTACGGACGCTTGAGTTTTTTTACACCTTTTTCAACTACACTCGTATTATTTTGAGAATTTATAAATTCAGGGGGCTAAAAACACAGAAGAAACATCGTAGAAAATACAATATTGAAGACAAACCGTAGAAAGAGATTTGTTATCGATGTCCAACCGAAACCTACGACCCTCCACGGGCTAAGTTGTACGCTAGTCGTACACACTATGCTAGAGTTGTCTTATGGTTACAACATGTGTGCCTCGGTATTTAACAAAAGACCTAGACATAGTTTGGCTCTAACTGTATCCTACGCATATTAAAATTCAAAATCTTAAACTTATACACATATTCCACACAAACTCTCATATATAGTCTACCATAGTTGAAGTTATTCCACACAAACTCTCACATATAGTCTACCATAGTTGAAGTGATGGGTAATAAGTTTTAAAGATAATGTTCCTAGTATAAAGAATGAACAGATTCATTTATGGTGATCTTTTCAACCGTTCCATCTCTTTTCTGTACCAGTAAAGCATAGCGAGTAGTATAATTACTTTCCGACAAACGAATTTATTTCTGAAACGAGTAATTACTTTTGGACAAACCAATTTGTACCCTTCTGAAACGATAATTGTTTTGTAAAAAAAAATTCTTTTTGACAATTTTAGTACCTTATCAGAAATGAAATAAGCCAACTGCCAATCTAGTTATCTACTCCCTCTGTCTCATAAATTCAAATTCTAGAGATGAACCTGAAGATAGGATTTGAATCTTTATTGTACAGAGGAGTAGATGCAACATTGTGTTTTCTGGTACGACATCAGCAAATGGTTTAAAATAATTCTGCCGTCCTGTGGCATGTAAAAACATATTAATTTCCAACTGCTCCCTTCGTCCCATAATACAGATTTTGATATTTTGCTTGTATTGTTTGACCACTCGTCTTATTTAAAAAAATTGTGCAAATATAAAAAATGAAAAGTTATGCTTAAAATACTTTGGATAATAAAGTAAGTAAAAAAAATAATTTCAAAATTTTTTGAATAAGACGAATGGTCAAATAGTACAGGCAAAATATCAAAACCCCTTATATTAAAGGATCGAGAGAGTAGCATAGATGCCATATCTTGAAATTGCTCTTAACCATTTGAAATAACAAATCAGATGGCTGAAAAAAAATCGAATGTACCGATAAACAAATAAGATTGCCAAAATTGGATCATACCAAAAATTAGTGCATTGAAATGTCACATTTGGCTGGCTATATGCTTACGCGAAAACAAATAATATGCAGAAATTTTATATTCATTAAGTACAGCATATCTCTTTGGTGACCCCAGCTAATCTTTTCCTGCCATAATTGTCAGGTCATAATGAAACAGACACGCCGGCCGGCGACTCTTTGACAGGTATCCTTATAGCTTTGTATATTTTCTTTTTTCTTAGTAAAATCCTCAGAAGTGGACAGGGAGATCCTGTTTTCTTTTAAGAAGTAGAAACTTGGCCCAGTTTTTTAGGGAAACCGGGCCCAAAAACCTCACATAAACACGGTTTGAAGGCGGAAACCGGGCAAAACCCACACGGAGAACAAGATAAAGAACTTGCGACGGCACAACTAGAGGATAAAACATAGGTCATCGTTGCCAAGCTCCCAAGAGCAGCTCCGACTTCCTATGAACAGACCACAGACAAGCGTAGGGCAGGGTCTTCAAGACAAAGCCTCCAAGGAGGAAGATAGCTTCGAAACGCAAACAACATCCGTCCGAAAATCGGTGCAAGGTTTTCACTCGAAGAAACGAGTAGAGCACAGAAACGATGCACACAGGCGTCACCATCGTTGGCTCTAGCCTAAGATCGAGCAGGACATTCGCCCCGGCTCGCTCTCCCTGCTAACTACGACAACCCTGGCTACCACAGGAAAACGGCGCACACAGGCGTCACCATCGTTGGCTCTAGCCTAAGATCGAGCAGGACATTCGCCCCGGCTCGCTCTCCCTGCTAACTACGACAACCCTGGCTACCACAGCGCTACCATGGAAAGCGGGAAAGGGTTATCGTTGCCGAGCTTGTCACCGACAAGCAGCTCCGACTTCCCCCAACACACCTACCCAAAGAAACGCCAGGAAGCCAACTGCACAGTAACCCCAACGAAACTACCAAAAAAGGAGCAAGGGGGTTTTCTTTGCCCAGCTTGCCACACCCAGCCAAGCAGCTCCAACTCCACCCCAAACACCATCAACAGGTTGCGTTGCAGAGGTCTCATGCACCAACTCCACCGAACCAGGCACCTTGCCGACGCAAGAAAAACAAAGCGCTGACAGTGTTGAGGCTCTCGAACTCCAAGCAAATCTACCAACCAAAGCTAGCTCCCCGCCCCTCGCCATGGAACTCCCCACGACCAGAATCTGAAAGCAGACCGGTCAACAGGAGGGGAGGAGCCCCAGACAAACTTGGAGGAACACTTGCTGGCGATCAAGCCACCGACAACACTATTGTTCACCGTGTCCTGTGGCTTTCCAAACGAACGAACCACGTCAGCGACCAACCGACCAACCCAACGACGACCTCTCCAAGCGGCAATACCACCGGCCATCAACCATCACCACTAAAACCCCGCCGGCCAGCAGCTTCTCCGGCCACCTCGACAACCAACTCCGCCTCGACAGCACCTTCGCTGGCCACAACCGCCTTCGCCAGCCATCGCCTTGCTCGCCTTCACCGGCCAGCTGCACCTCAATTCGCCACCCAAATACCTTTGCTGGCCACAGCCACATCCGTTGGCTACCGTCTTACTCGCCGACCGCCTCCGCCGGCCTCGTGCGCATCCAACTCCATTCTCCCCCACTGAATCCAAGAAGGAGATGGCCAGAGTGGCCGCTCCTCCCCCTCCGGTTTTCTTCCTCGCGCCGCTGCCGCTTCTCACCTTCACCCCGCCGCCATCACTCCCCACCCCGATGACAGCCAGATCCAGGAAGACCGGATCTGGTCGCCCCTTCCATCTCCGGCCTTCACCTTCCTCCCACTGCGTCCAGGCTATTGCCCCACCTCGCCGTCCCACCACGTCGCCGTCGCTGGAGAAGCTCGTCGTCGGGTCGCCGCAGCTGCCGCCGAACGTCGACCTGCCTCTCCCGCGCTAGACAGGGCCGCCGCTCCTCGGCTAGTTGCCCTGCCGCCGCTGTCCTTGGTCGCCGAACCGTTGCCTAGCCGCTCCGGCAGTGGCGAGGTTAGGGAGGGAGAGGGGAAGTGGCGGCGGCGGCGCTAGGGTTGTCACCCGCCCGGTCGCTCGCGCGAGGAGCGACGCGGATGGGTCAGGGTCTCGGTCCTGAGATGGGAAATGCTTTTTTAGCTTTGTATAGGAGAGACGGTTGGCATCTCCCTTGACAGGGACGGGAACAGCTTTCGGGCTTTCCTCCATCACATTGCGGTTAAGGCTACCCGCTTCGGCGGATCTTACCCAAATTTTAAAAGTTAGCTTCGTATATTTTGAATGGATCAAATTTTCATATTACTCTTAATTTACATATTGTTCGGAAACAGTGATTTACTAACATTTAAAATCTGTTTAAATCAAAATTTACACTATAATAAGGACTTATTTTAATATTAAAATTTGTTATATAATATAACACGTACAAATTTCTTTCTAATTGTACTATCAGTCAGTAATTGAAGTTTCAAAGTAACGACAAATCAATAATTTTATTTTCTTAGTAATTCAGAAAATAGCAGCCGACAACTTTGGAATTCTCAAGCTAACATTTTTATTAAACCAATTATCATAATTTGGTTTCGAAACCAATGAAGACACACATGCCTCGTATAACTGTATAAGAAGTTGGGCACTTAGCAAACAAAAATCTATAGTTTCTAACTAGCAAACTTGTGAGCTGTGTTTAGCATTATATGTCGTACATTTAAACAAATAAACAAACTTGTTTTGAAGTTAGTCCTGTTTTCATGACATTGTAGACTCCCAAGCAAAAAATGCCTCTCCTCCCTCGAGGCTGAGTGAGGCATTCCGGATCTTGTTCCTGCTTCAGATACTGTTCATTTTCGGACTGTGAAGCACCATTCATTGGAGACAGTATTTTCATTTTCCGTATTCATCTTCCTGTTCAATGTTACCATATGGATGCCAAGTATTTGACAGTGGTGAATGATTCGAGCTTAATGGCCTTCATATTATCGTATACTCTCTCCGTTTCAGGTTACAAGACGTTTTGATTTTCGTTCAAACTGTTTTAAGTTTGACTAAGTTTATAGACAAATATAGTAATATTTATAATATTAAATTAGTTTCATCAAATCGATAATTGAATATATTTTCATGATAAATTTGTCTTGGGTCGAAAATGTTACTACTTTTTTCTACAAACTTAGTCAAACATAAAGCAATTTGACATTGACAAAAGTCAAAACGTCTTATAACCTGAAACGTGGGAATATATGATTTAATTACTGTGTACTTTGATTTATAAAACTTCAACATATTTTTATCATGGTTTCCACTCTTCTTAGAAACATGTTAACTATGCATGCCATGGTGAATCTATAAGACCCCAAAGGTTTTAATGCCATACCTTAAAGTGTTCAATCGATTTTAGCCGTACATTTTTTAAGATAATGGAATAAATCTTAGCCTTTAAGAAGCTGCAACTACTTGTTACAGTACATCATTATCTCAAGGAGAGTAAATATGCAGGCAACTTCATAATGACGGATAAAAAACCAACACATAAGGAGAAAATAATTATTAAAGTCTATTTGAAAATCAACATATGAAGTTGACGGAAATCTAACAAGACTGTGACTTCTTAGATTCGACATGCCGAATGTATTAGGTCCTTATTCTCTTAATACTTATGAAGTTGTGCCTAGAACCGTAGTACGTAAGTGTGTTGCTCTAAAAGGTATATCTATATAATATTTATTTGAAGATTCATTTAAACTATATCATTTACCATAGAACCTATCGTAAGCACATGATCCTACAAATTCAACCCTACATTTTGGCAGTCAATATAGTGTACTTATACTAATGCAATACCTTCAGTTCACGCCATATATTATAATAATACTTTACTGTATGACTACATCTTGTCTCATGTTTGCCACTACTTGTTTATTGTGAACACATTTTTAGAATTATGTTTCATGTAAAACTTTTCTATGTAATTTTTTTTAAAAAAAATTAAATAAATCTATGTTTCAACTTTGTAATAATTACCCTCGATTAATCATTTGTTGATCGCTGGTCTCGTTTTGCATTAAAAAAAAGCAAAATTGGTTCTGAAGCATCGAAAGTTCTCAATTTTGGTTTTATAGCATTGAAAGTTCATGGTTCACTTTAGTAGCACCGAGAGTTACTTCCGTTACTTATTTTTAGCATTCCGTCCAAACTTCAGTTAGTTTTGTTTTCTTCTTATTGTTTTTCAACAACAAAAAAAAAAGATATCAAACACCAGCGGTGCCCTGTTCCTTCCTCGTCACCCCTAAATCGCAGTCATACACGAGGTCAGGCTGGTCAGCCATGGTGCGAACGCAGGACGCTGGCTCCACAAGCTCGTCATGTACGCCAACCCTATCCGCAAGCCATGTTCGTCCGTGCTTGCCAGACAACGCCATCGTCGATCTCATCTGCCGCACCGCCATGCTAGAGCTTGTTCAAATGCCGCGTGCTTAACCAGGTCCACCTCCGCGGCCGCGCCGCTTCCAAGTTCGTCCGGGCGTGCTGCCCCTGGTCTCCCCCTGATGCGTCATCCTCAAGCTCATCCATCGACGCGTTCGAGCCCGCCCGAAGCGTTGTTGTCCAGCTCGTCACAGGCATCCTTGGGCCTGAACGGAAACAACGTCCTCCAGCTCATTGTTGGCGCCATTGAGCTCGCCCGAACACGCCACCCTCGAGCTCATCCATCGGCCCTCGAAGGCTCGAACTCGCCTCAAAGCACCACCCTCGCGCTCGTCGCGGTTTCACCTGAGTGCCGACCCCCTCCTCCTTGCCCTGGACCAGTTGTCTGCTGACCCAAGAGATGCCACCTCTAGCTTGCCTGATCCAGCCACCCTCCAACCCACTCAGCACTATACTGTCGAGGTCAAGCTCGCTTGCTGCCTTGAAGAGTGGTCGGCCATACGAGGCAGACTGGCAGAGTGCAGGAGGAAGAAGACATGTGTGTAGGATGGGGTGAGGAGACGGAACTACTGACGGAATGCTAAAAGTAGTAAAGGAGGTAATTTTCAGTGTTATTAAAGTGAACCATAAACTTTTGCTGCTATATAGCCAAAATCGAGAACTTTCAATGCTATAAAACCAATTTTGCCTTAAAAAAAACTCAGTCTTAACAATTGCCGGTGTACGAGAACAAATGCCAACCCTGTTGTCGGGAAAGCACCGAAGGTGCCATAGTGAATTCATGTTCACCGAAAGTCCGAAACCTGGTGCTCACAGTAGAACACATGAGGGTGCACTTCTGATATAAATTTACTGTTGTCTGGGAAAGTGGGAATTGCTGCAAGTTTACATCTTGTGTGTGTCTGTACAGTGGGTGTTTGTGCATATGCGTGTACAGTGGTGTTATAAGGGGGTGCGTTCAGCGTGTGTGTACAGCGCTGTGTGTGTGTGCGGTTTTTCATTTAATCAATACTAATATAAAGTACTAGTTGCGCACTTCTCCCCTCATGGAGCTCGTCATAGACCTCGCTGCCAGCCGCCGGATCTGGCAACGGAGGTCCTTCAGGCTGCTCCACCTCCACCTCCTTCCCGGCCACCAGCCACCACCTTCTCCATCACTGCTACCATTGCCAGATTTAGAGGAGGAGAAGGGGGAGACAGCGGCGGGGCCATCATACCCGGATTCGCAGTCTGCCCACAAGAACGCCAGCTCCTGACGTCGACGCCACACGCTCCCACCAGTCGCATGCCACACAGCCTCGTTTAGTCGCATGGCCATAGCTGCCGCCCCCTCCCTCCTCCACCGACCCTTCATCTCAAAAACCAAATCGAAGCGAGAGGAGGAGCACAAGCTGACCATGGCGGCGCTGGTGGCGGGCGAGGGGGTTAGGGTTTTGGGGGATGGGAATGGGAGGCGGTGCGGCTAACGGATGCAAAGGAGAAGATGGGGAGAGGACATGCAGCGGATGGAGAGAAGAGTGGGAAGGAGAAGTGCGAGAGAGAGATGACGACAATGGGAGTGTGGATAAGATCAAATTTTATTGTGGTGGAGGAGGTGCTGGATCGACTTTTATAGTTGCCGGTTTTATAAAAAAAAGGTTTAAATACTATAGCTACCAATTTTTACATAAACCGGTATCTATAAAATAAATAAAGGTACCCGTTTTTTTTAAAAATGCAACTATAGTTTAGGTGCCGGATTTTATCTATATTTTTTGTTTTATAGAATATAATCATGTGATATCTTGTTTCAAAATTTAGTTACTACGAATAAATCGGTACAACGAATAAATCGGTATGATCAGAACGTAGATTGGACAACTAGTTTATGAGAAAAAATGTTTTTAACATTAGTAATAAGATAGTACAAATATGGAAGATGGGGAGGATAAAGGGAGAAGCTCATGCATTGTATGGCACTAGAGCGGGAGCGCGCTTTATTCTTTTTTAGGAAATTAGCTGTGTTTTTTCTTTTTTGGGAAATTGGCTGTGTTTTTTTTTTTGCTGTTTTAGGTGGTGAAAAAGAATGAATTAGTTTGAAGCATTGAATTCTGAGCATTTGTGAAGAAGGGTGTCAAGAGGGATAGCTTATTAGTGTAACGGCAGGCATTTTACTGGAACTACTTAGATAGTATAAAGGCAAGTCATTCAGCTAGAATGCATGCATATACATACTATGTTCTATAGCATTGGTAGCAGATGCTAGCATCTTGTATCATACAATTCTAAGGAAGGTAGATAAGGCAACACTTATATACAATGATAATCATGACAAAAAGCCATGAACAAAAGATCTTGGTTCTTTAGTCTTGGGTAATTTCACAACTGCCATCTGTCTTCTAGCTGGGACATAGCTTTGTACATATATATAAGCAAAAGTCTTGAGATGGATTGCACGTCGACAACTCATTCACTGTGTAGATGAAATTAAGAGTTGTGAGATTAGGAAATGCCTTTAAATTGCTAATTTGTTATGTGTAGATAGGTGAGTTTGTGTTTGAGGAGTAACCTGTCATTGCCTTTTTGCTGGGCACCATACTTGAACAATTTCTTAGCTACCGGAGGTGTTGCTGTAGGTGTAGGCATTCCTCTGTTTATTGAAACGATGTGTTAGTTACAATGGAAGAAAGCTTTATTATTGGAATGCACCTAGGAGTGATCAAAGCACCTTTTTTTTGGCTGGGGTATCTGTAGGGAATGATGGGGTTGCTTGTTTGGCTTCTTTGGCAGTTTGTCCCTTTCCCTTGTAAAAGAAGTGGCGGTTAAGTCTTAATGAATGAGCTGAAAGGAAAGAGATGTAGTAGTACCTTATTTTCAGTAGTATCAAGCAGGACAACAATTGAAGATTTATCATGTGAGGTGTTTTCTTCAGCTTTTGTGTTAGTTTTGGGCTTGCAAAATTAGGAAAGAAGTGAGAGTGGATGTAATTCAGTATGAGTGACAGCAAGTTTAAGGGTGGCTATAAAGTGGTTACCTTATCATCAGTTTTAGGTTTGGTCCTGCTAGACTGCAGGCAAGACACTGAGACAACAATGCATTTCTTGGTAGGTGTTGAAGAATTTGATTTGCTAGTTGGGGTGTCCTGTGTTCCCTGAGCGATAGTGAACTTGAAGCATCTGGGGACATAAGGAGTAGTGGCTGGTTTGAAGCACCAGAGGATATAATGCTATTAACCTGTAGGCACTCTTGACTCCTCATGACAGTATCCCGCGTAAAGCTAACATTCCATGCAAAATTGCTGCCAATAAGTGACGTGATTTCACTTGGAATGTATTCACTGTTTGGTGGATTTTCTTCAATGAGAGATTCTATTGGCCTGCGTAGTAGGCGTTGTGCGATCCTTCCGAAAAGGATAAATGTAGCATTAGCATCATCATCGCCGGCAATTAATACTACTTTGTACCTGCATGAAAAATGGATATGGCCATAGCAATGTGTGGATGATAATTGCTAAAGATGTAGGAAGACAGAGCGTGTTCTATTATGAACCTTGGATCTGGTATTCCGATGTTAGAACAGCTGGAGCATCTGTAGCTAGAGCCATATGGTTTTGAAGTTTTATAGCATATTCGACATGAATTGTACCAGCAAGAATATTCATTGCATATCCTTCTAACAGTCACATTTACTATAAAACGTGTTCCCTGCATAAGAGGACAGTGAAAATATCATATTGGTAATTTTATTATCAAAAAGTGGATAGATATAGTTAAGATGTGTTTTAGAGATAGTGTCAACCTTGTGTTTGTGTGGGTTGATATTAAGGATTTCTGCAGTACTCTTTTCTTCTGGTACATCCTGGTTGTATCCTGTAGCAGGCTCATCAACCCACTTGATTGGCTGAAAGTTTGTACTAAAGCTACATAGAAGAATTGCATCTTAGATTAATGGACACTGTAAAAACCTTGAAGAATACAGTGGTGCACATAGATTGCAAGAATAACTGTAAGTAAATTAAATTACCTCTCGTTTAATTCTGCTACTTTAGGAATATTTAGATTAATATACCATTTGCATGGTGAGCTTCCAGTTAGTGTAAGGCCTATATATGTGGAGGAAATTATTAGATATTGTTAGTTGCATGCAGTCAATACTACAGTAATTGAAAGTTTAGAAAGAAATGTACCTAATCCTCTGTAATCTTTCACAAGTGTTCCAACAAACACAACAACTTGAGCTTGAGTTTGACCAGCACTGTATATGTCATCAGCATCAAAAGACGTTGCTCTTTCTCCCTAGAGTGTGACAGGAAGAGTCGAATTACTAGTTTTGTGGATTTGGAGGGGAAAAAGTGATTTAATTGTAATTGGAAAAGATGACTTAGTGTTAAGAATATGTGAGATAGTTTGTGTGAATGCTAGCGAAAAAGATTAAGTAAATAATAAAAATGTAAATATTTAGCTGTACTAAACAAACCTTGCATCGCGGATCTGTAATGTCCTTTTTAGGCTCTCAGCGTTTCTGGACTTAGGACGTATAGTAGTGACTGCACCAACTTCAGTGATCACACCCATAATGTCTGTTTGCATTGCATAAAAATTTAATAAAATGATATGGCATTGCAGAAGACGCATATAACAATAGTTGTAACACAATAAAAGTATGTTATTACCAACGTAGAATGAATTCTTCTCGACAAGCGAAGGAACATCTTCAAATGGTGTCAGTGAAAATGTAATACTAGGGAAATGAGGAGGGACATTAATGTGTTCTTCAAGTGTTGTCCATTTACTGAAGAGGATCATTAGGTTGTTTGCAACTGGCCTGTATGTTCTGTTTGCAGCCCTAATAGTGAATGAGTCAATGTAGTAAACCTTTTCTTCCTTAAGGAGAGGTTTCATCTTTTCTGTTATAGGGGGATAAATTTGGGCATGTATGCTAGTCCCCTGCAGATTATAAATACAAATCATGTTATCAAGAGAATTATTGGTATAGTAAGGCAAATAAGAAAATGGATTTGGCAGGTAAATTATTACTATTTCATCGAGTAAGACAAGATCAGTGTGGAAAATTTTTGTATCATCGTTGAGATCAGTAAAGTTCCATAGCCTGGAGACCCTTGCATGGATTCTTTTGTTTGAATCTCCAAATGATAGCTGTGAAATAAGTACATGCGCCATATGGAATCTGCAATAAGCATAAAATACTTTTAGTATAGACAAAACAATAATGCTATATATGTACAAGAAAATGTTACTAAGAAGAACAATACATATAACTGCAGCGGACAAATCGTATACTATATATAGTATATGGTATATGTGAAGGAGGTATATTTATTCCAAAATATATGTACAAAATTGTTTATTTTTTAGGGTAAAAGAGGTTAAGCATGGAGCGGCAAAGCCTGCAACAGAAAGCTATTTCCATATTACATTATAGATGTTCCTGATATTAAGTTAAGCATAGCTGCAGTCTTGCAGAAGGGTCTATATGGATTTAAAGTACGCACACATAGGAACAATAAAAAAAACTACGATGATATGAATCCAAGCTTACTATTGTCAATAAAATAACTAAACTATATTGAACAACATGCGTGAGTGATATAGTGATGGTCTGTATGATCGGCATGATTTAAACCGTTGAATACAACCTAAAAGCAACTTAAATGGCAGATCATCCTAATTTTCTATGCACTACCATTAAGTGAAAACTATAATCATGCACTACAAAATCATATAGTCAGTAGCTACAGGCTCGTGCGTACACTAGTACAGATCCTTCTATCTGTGACGGCCTCTAACAAGCTTGAAAATAGCGGGCCGTCACAAGGAAGTCATCTCAATCGGGCTGAAAAAGTGCCCGATTGATATATGGTCGCACAAACATATTATATGGGCATAAAACTTAAGGCCGTCACGGATGACACCTATCAGTGACGGGCCGTAGTTTAGGCCCGATTGAGATAACATTCTATATCTTAAACGGGCCTGAAGTTAGGGCCCGTCACAGATGACCATCATCCATGACGGGCACCAACTTTAGGCCCGATTGAGATAACATTCCATATCTCAAACGGGCCTTAAGTTGGAGCCCGTCACAGATGACCATCATCCGTGACGTGCACCAACTTGAGGCCCGTCACCGATGACTCATCAGTGACGGGTTATATACTAATCCCCAGTTGACATGACTTAATCTCTATCGGGCATTACCTAAAGCCCGTCACCGATGAGTATTTTTTCATTTTACATATGAAATGTTTATATTTGTAAGTTGAACTATAGCAATATTATTAACTTGCAGTATAATAATTCAATTTATGAGTCAAAATAATTTTACGCGTAGTAAATGATATCAAATGGAAAAGTCATCAACAATAAAGTTGTATAACTCATCAAGATCTATAACTTTTATTTTTGTCATTTTTCTAAATAACATTTTTTTGAACAGTTTGAATTTGAATTTGAAAATATGACAACTTCAAACAACATTTTCAAATACTAAATGATTTTAACTGAAAAAGTTATCAACAACAAAGTTGAATAACTCATCAATATCTATAACTTTTATTTCGGTCATTTTTCTATATAATATTTTTTGAACCGTTTGAATTTGAATTTAAAAATATGACAACTTCAAACAATATTTTCAAATACTAAATGATTTCAACTGAAAAAGTTATCAAAACCAAAGTTGTAGAGCTCATCGAGGTGCAAAATTTTTATTTTGGTCATTTCTTCATCTGATAAAATATTAGTAATATTGTTCACAAATTTTACATATAGGTGTTATAGTTTATAAAACCACATAAGAGATATATCAATTTTGTGAACAATGTTACTATCACTTTATCAGGTGAAGAAATGACCAAAATAAAAGTTTTAGATCTTGATGAGTTGTTCAACTTTGCTGTTGATAACTTTTTCAGTTGAAATCATTTAGTATTTGAAAATGTTGTTTGAAGTTGTCATATTTTCAAATTCAAATTCAAATGGTTCAAAAAAATATTATATAGAAAAATGACCAAAATAAAAGTTATAGATCTTGATGAGTTATACAACTTTGTTGTTGATGACTTTTTCAGTTAAAGTCGTTCACTAACAAAAAATTATATTTTAATTTCTCAAACTTTGAATTTCAAATTTCAATTTGTTTAAATAGAGTCAGATGGAGAAATGACCAAAATAAAAATTTTGCACCTCGATGAGCTCTACAACTTTGGTTTTGATAACTTTCCCATTTCGAATCATTTATTAATCCTAATTTTTGTTCGAAGTTGTCAAATTTTGAAAATTCAAAATTTGAATTGTTCAAATGAATTTATTTGTACAAAGGACCAATACAATAGTTGTAGATCTCATTGAGTTATATAATTCTGTTGTTTATGATTTTTGATGGTTGTGTATGATGCGGACATCACTAATTCGGATACACACAACAATCCTCCAACGGTCATTCAAGGACCGATAACAAGAGCTCGTGCGCGACAATTAAATTTAGAGGTGAGCTCGTTCCTATGTTCTTCTTTGTATGAATTCGAAAATAGATTGCTACCTAATGATTATGTTGTGATTAGGAACAATGGAGGGGATAAGGGGACACTTGGAGAAGGACTTAGAGCCATGGAGGATCATCGAGGACGTCCAAGTCAAGGTGGAGGCCCAAACCAAGTCGACGTCGGGTGCAATTCGGAGTCCAGGACCAGTCTGCACTAAAACGGGCGCCTAGGTCGCATACGTGCTCGGATTGGGGCGTTCTTTATATGTATGGAAAGCTAAGAAGATAACATTTCGAATGGTTTTGGTCTACGTCCAAATTCTTTCCGAGTCAATGGGAATTGACCGAAGATAACCCTTCGGTGGGTTTGGCGAATCCAAAATTCCAAAATTTGGCTTGCAAAATTGTCTGTTCGAGCTCACAAGTTCCTGCACCTTGTTTATAGTGGTTTCAGAAAAATCCATATGCCACATATCTACTCCGATTGAGCTGTAACTTGGAGGTGTGCCTATTTTCATGTTCTGAAAAAAGAAAAAATATAAAAAAATAAAAGAAAAAAAAAAGAAAAGTTGATTTCCACTAGTGCATTGAGCTCACGACGCGCTCCGTTGAGCTTATCTGCCAGTTTGGTTTTGTAGTTTTTGCTGAAACTCGCCGAAGCTTGCCTGCAAGTCTTTCTTTGCTGCTTACTAGTGTCATTTTATTTCTTGAGCCATAATTGTAACCACTACTATCTAGGACACAAGTAGACCAGCAACTAAGGGCAAGTGACTTGGGATTTTTATTCAGCATTACTATCTGTCATTGGATTGTGTACCACTCATATACATATATTTGGCCTTCCTAGCTTCACATATTACTTCTGGACAGCACAGGTTCTTGATCCCTGCAATCGCTGTCTACGCCTTCCAGGTATCCTTTGCTTTGCTGGTAAGAACCTTATAAGAGCTTGGTTAGAAACTCCATATTGCTGAGAATCGTTGAGAGGTACTACTACACCTGCGTAGTAGATTATTAGGGATAACCTTCACCGTTTTGTTTCTGTTTTGATGTTTCAATATCAGGTAACGAAGGTGACAAGAGTCCCCAGGATTTTGCTGACTGTGTCAGCCAAGAGCAACCTCAAAAGGACATCATGGAGGCCGTTGCAAAGTCTGTCCAAGATGCCTTCACTAAAATCGGCTTCCTGAACCACATGGAGAGGTTGGACAAGCGGATATCCACGCTAACTGATTGGGTCACCGCGTTGGAGACACCTTCCAATGAGGAAGTGGTGAGTGGTGACGACGATGCTCATCCTGAAGACACGGTGTACGATTCCAGTGGCTATATTGACGCACCGGCTACAAGGCAAGCACGGCTACGACGTCGCCTACGCACAAACCGCACAGGTATGGGTGGCACTCGCCACCAACAAGGTAATGATAATAATCATGTCGCCGATGATCCTTATGCTAAGGTTAGGTTTAAAATACCATCTTTTTGGGGAAATTATGATGTTGAGAAATATCTTGATTGGGAGATGACAGTACAACAAAAGTTTAATGCCCACCTTGTACCCGAGCAACATAGAGTTAGACAAGCCAGTAGTGAATTCAAGGATTTTGCTATTATGTGGTGGGCTGGGTTATCTGATGAGGGGGTACTACCTACTACTTGGGAAGAACTTAAGGTAGCTATGCGCGATAGGTTTGTTCCTCCATCTTATCATAGAGATTTACGCAAGAAACTGATGCGTTTGGAACAAGGGGATAAATCTGTACAGGATTACTATGGTGAGCTACAAAAGGGTGTGAGACGCTGTGGCATAGTGGAGGGGGTCAAGGATGCTATTTGTCGTTTTTATTCTGGTTTAAGGGAGGAAATTCAGAACATTGTTGATTATAAGGAATTTAACTCTGTCAACCAGTTGTTTCGGTTAGCTATGCTTGCAGAGAAGGAATTACAGGGGCGCGACCATCAAGGCAAGAGCAAGGCAAGCACATACACTCCGCGCACGACGCCATCTGCGGGACTGCCCAAGGCTGTCTTTTTTCGGGCGTCCTCCCAGCCAGCGAGCAAGCGACCAGCTGCATCCGGAGCTTCTACGGCACCAAAACCATCTCCACCACGACCAGGAGAGTCAGGTAAAGGTTCCTCGCAGGTACCCGCCAAGAGTGCCTCATCTGTCGCCTCGACGGGACGCATTCAGTGCCACCGTTGCCAAGGGTTTGGGAATGTGCAGAAATATTGCCCTAGTCAATGGGCCTATGTTGCTACAGAAGATGGCTACATCACCACCTCCGACGTGGAAGAGGAAGAGAGGGAAGAAGAAGTTGAGGATGAGGATGGCGAAGTCTTTGGTCGTGATGACACAACGGACTACAGGACCATTATTGTGCAGCGGGTGCTCAGCACGTATGTACAGCAGCATGACAAGTTGCAACGCTATAATTTGTTTCAGATTTTCTTCGTCATCAACAACCATCGTGCACGTGTGATCATTGATGGAGGTAGCTGCAAAAACTTGTTGAGTTCTGATTTGGTCAAGAAGCTTGGCTTGACTACACGTACACATCCACACCCTTACCATATTCAGTGGTTAAACGATTCCGGAAGAGCAAAGGTAACACAGGTTTGTAGGGTTTTGTTTTCCATTGGCTCATATGCAGATTCTGTTGATTGCGATGTGGTTCCT